TTATAGTTGTATTTTGAAACTCTATAATATTTACCTGTGATAAATAGACCATTCTTTATATTTCGTAGTTCATAGTATCATAGTACATAATCAATCGTGTAATATATACCTTTGGCGTTAAGAGGAATTTTATCAAACGCTTATTAGTCAGCGCCGGTGCGCAATCAAAATTTATCTGGCGACATAAGTTTGGCATGAAAATTGCATCTTTCAGTAAGGTTAAAAGGAGAGCGCGAATTGAAAAAATATTGTGCTTAATTATGCGGTAGACTATAGAATGCATATGTAAAAGTACAAGTGAGATTCGTGTTAATAACCAACACACAAGTTTTGAAACAAAAATTATAACTGGGTCCTATCAGAAAACTGCGGTGATTCGTGACAAAGGGATTGACCGGATTTACTAATTTTGCGCCTACAAAGTATTTATGTTATTACGCACTTGTTGACAGGTTACGGAAACTTGAACAAACACATTAGTTAAACGTACTTTGCGCATTATCAAAACTTTGTAAGCTTTCGAAGATTAATTTGTGGTGTTTTCCAGCATCATGCATGGTTGACTCAGAACTATAAATAAAACGAATTGTATGACTATTTAAACACTCATTAATAATTTGTAAGTACTTTGGCTAATCTCGTCTGCCATAATATGTCACGTGAAGTGTTTATACCTGACAGAAATCACATTTCTCATGCTATAGGTATTCTTTATATATAAAGAATACTATATCATTAATGACACCATATTGACATGGCACAGTATAGTGGTGTTTTACCACCCTTAAGAATGCTAGGGTTGCGTTGAGGCTGCCACTTATATTCAGAATGTGAGGCCCTCACATTCTGATTTCTGAATATAAACCCTTCTATGCGTGCACTAATAGTACTGTATCCACTCATTGTATACATACCCAATCTCTGAAATTATCTCTATAAGACTATGATAATAGCAATAAATGATAGCATATAAACGATGGAGTGGTATTTATAATCAACTATTTATGACATTCATGGTATTATAAATAATATATATGTATATGTATATATATATATATATATATATATATATATATATATATATATATATATATATATATATATATATATATATATATATATATAAAGATAAAATAAACCTGGTTTACTTCATAAGATTATTCACTACAAACTTGTTTCGTATGACAAGCAATGCTTGCCACACTCATCAGGTGAATTTAAATTTTTGAATTTAAAATTTTTAAAATTTAATTTTTAAATTTTTAAAATTTAAAATTTTTTTTAAATTTTTTTTTAAATTTCATTTAAATTCACCTGACGAGTGTGGCAAGCATTGCTTGTCATACGAAATAAGTTTGTAGTGAATAAATCTTATGAAGTAAACCAGGTTTATTTTATCTTTATCTACATTAGCTCTATACTTCGGTATATCGAGCACTCTACTCATATATGATTCTAAATACATATTTGGTATATATATATATATATATATATATATATATATATATATATATATATATATATATATATATATAACGCCTTCCCCCCCCCCCCACGCTTCCGACGCCCCTGAGGAGTGAGCTGAATAATAATGTAAATATGTAATGTAATGTAATTCATTCACAAATAGTTGCAATATTCAACTACTAAGCTTGAAGCTTACTACTTTGCGACGAAGCTTACTACTACTTACTACTTTGTTCGCTTAGAGTATTAGAGTTTAGTGTTTAAAATTGAATTGAATTGGCTGTATATGTTTCTTACACACCGTGTGGAAGTCTGGAACACAGGCTATACTGCATGCGTGCATGGAAAGCAGACGGCAGCATTGATCTCAAATTGATATTTGAGATTAAGGCCTACATGCATAGGCGGTGGTAGGTCGGTACAATATACCTTAAGTTTGCGTGCGTGCTTCTTTAGTTGCATTTTCAGCTCAATTATCGCCTGTCAACATGCTAAAATCATACCGTAAATTATTTTAAGTATTTCGCGGAGACACTGTATGGCAATCCATCTTTAAAGTGCTGATAAGAACCACTTGTGTGTTAATTAAATTTTGAAGAACAAAAGGCGCATGTAGACAAGCGGGCAAGACCGCCAGTTGCGTTGCATTCCTGTTTGTGCAACATGGGACGAAACATGAAACTATACATGTATTTTAGTAAAGTTTCAAATTTTACATGCGCATTCTAAAATCATTTGGTGAACTCTTAATTATATCAAAACAATTAAAGCACAGTGCGAAAGCGATCAATCATCAAATTGATGTGAAAAATTGATACCTTTGAGAAATATCTTCAAGCTGTTACAAAATTACGAATTTTAAACACATATATTACTATAATTGTAACCATAGATATCTTGGTTGTAACTGACCGATATAAAGGTATTTCTCACTGTCATAGAGAATGCGAACATCTGTTCAGTTGTGATCAAAATGATGTTGGAAAATGAACTTCCAGCATTATACTTAATATCATAGTAGGCTAATGCCGATTTATATCCTTACGTATATACGTCTACGACATATATAGCTTTATTGACCGTCTATATAAAATTAATCAAACATTCAAATTATTTGATTTGCATAGATTATTTCAGTACATATTAATTAGGAAAGACTGATGATTTTGAAATTATCTTCAAAATACTGATACGATATATTAACAAAACTCAATAGAGCCATTTATACGGAACAAAATAAGACGCGACTTACATAAGACGCAACTTAAATAAGACGCGAGTTTGTCGTATAAAAGGTACAAAATTCTTATGTAAGACGCGTCTTGGATAAGACGCGTCTTACATAAGAACAGGCCTTTTAGCTGTTCTTATCTAAGTCGCGTCTTAAATAAGAAATTTTGGACAAAAAGTTTAACTACACATGCCAGGAACTTGAAACAACGTAAAATTATTAGCCTTGCATATTAAAAAAAAACAAAAAACGAAACAACATTATAGCTATAGCAAGTAAATAAGAATAAAGCCCTAGAGAACCATTTATGCGATAACTCCGCTTATTTAAGTCGCGTCTTATGTAAGTCGCGTCTTATTTTGTCTCGTATAAATGGCCTTAATATGTTTCAGACATTATATCACTTTTTGGGTAAAAATGATATTTTCTTCAGAGCCTTTTTTAACATACAAGCTGGGGGGCAAATGCCCCAGTCCCCCCACGAAATCACATTTTGCCCCCCCCCCCCAGGAAAAGTCCCTTTTTCCTAAATTTATACAAACAAACCGGCGAAGAATAACAGATAGATAAACGGAAAGTAAGTTTTAGGCTTTATCCTTTGTCCTTGTTTAACAAAATCGATGAAAATTGTTACGTTTTTCTTCCACTAATTAGTAATGATAAAGTATTGTGAATATTTTTTATTTTTTGTGCGTTTTTTCCTTCTTTTATCTGAAATACAAGTATACGTAGCATACATTTTAGAGCAAATTTTGATGCTCCAAATGCAGGAAATATGGCATTTCCAGGAGTTCAAAAATTTTCTGGGGAGTATATGCCCCCCCACTGTGCCTCGTCCCCAGTCGCTTGCTATCAAATAGTTAATTAGGAAAAAACGAAAATTAATGGGGGCGCGCGGAAAGATGGGAAGGGGAGGAGTTTTTTCGTCTTCTCATTTTCCTTTGCGCGCTTGTCCTTAGTTGCGGGTGTGCACCTAAAGGCGTGCGTCTTTATCGGGCGTGCAGTGCACGCGCTAATCTATATATTACTGATATTTAAATTTGATCTATATAGAGGAGCCTGCGGAGGAGGCAGGCCCCCACACACGTGGCCTTCGGCCATTGATATCCCCCTCTAATAAGTAATGATAAGTTATGGTTAATATTTTTTTACTTTTTGTGCGTTTTTTTCCTTCTTTTATTTCAAATATGAGTATATATAGAGTATATTTCAAATATGAGTAGAGTATAGAGCAAATTTGGATGCTCAGAATGCAGGATCAGCAGGAAATGGCAATTCCGGGCTTCAAATTTCAAATATTTTCTGGGGGAGTATACTCCCAGACCCCTGTTCATGCGAGGTATGTTGGCCACACATGTGGCCTTTGGCCATTGCTATCCCCCTCTAATATATTATCTTACAGAAAGGTCCCTTTTAAAAAAATGCCCCCCTCCCGGGAAAATCCTCAAAAAAGGCCACGATTTTCTTTCATTGAAGTCCGTTTCTCCACTTTCGATACAAGCTCATATATACAAACGGCATATATAGGCCTAGGTATTCGACTCCGTCATTGCCTGAATATATACATATGCAGTAATTAACTGCATGACTCAATGCATGATTTCGCTGTGGATTTGCAAAAAGGGTTTATATGGAAATACTAACTGAACGCCACAATTCATGTAAATTTAATCAGATTAACAACATCAGATTATTTTCCAATTTCTAGCAACTTTATAGCTGCAACTCAAAACCCTTTAGTAAATGCATAGTGATGACGATGATACAGAAATGTTAGATTGGTTGATTACTTAGACTTAGTGTTTTTCCCGACCTTAAATGTACGTTGAAAATTTGCCCAACTTATCGACCTTCCAATTTTTCGGGCGTCGGCGGGCGCTGTGCCCGCCCCCCTCCGCCGCTCGATCAGTACGCAGCCGCCATGCATATATGAAATACACTGTACACAAACGTGCATGGTGATAATGGCGGCCTGTATAATCAATTCTAAATTTCTAGTAAAGGTTGGAAGGCTATCAGTCCTTTTAAAGTTTTGAACATATTAATTGTCATTGAGAAGATAATCTGGAGGAGATTTAATAAATAAGCAGCTAATTATCCCTCATGCAGAAAAAAATCCTGTGTTCTTTAGAGTTAACCCAAAATTTGGGAAGATTGCTAATAATTTTTTAGATGTAATTATCTCGGATGTATAGACGGTAAAAATTTGGGTGGTACTTGTAGACAAGTTATTGTAAACTAGAAAATACATGCATGCAGAAACCCTAGCCTTGCTGACAAAACAGTTGTATTTTCCGAACAGGAAGTATCTAGAGTAGTTGTCATGGTAACACGATAATTTTTTAAGAATATTCTTACAAATGAAAATCGCCTAAAAATATCACTTTTAATTACAAATTAAAATTATCAATTTCCCAACATATATATGTTAGGTATGTAATTATACGTAATACAAGCTTCAATTTAAGGTAAAATTCAACCACAAACAATTCACTGACAAAACGTTTTAAAGTGTTCTTTATAAAACTAAACTGCCTTTAACTATTAAATGGCTTTATCGATAAACTTTGAGTTTGCAATAAAATGATTTCAAATTCTCGCTTGCAAATAACTTTGGTCTTTGCTTTATTTTTTATTTAAAAAATTCAATATAATAAAAAAGGGAATCAATATTAAAGTTACACTGAAATTTATATATGCTGTCTTGTTTAGTTGTTTCATATACGCAAAGGCCGTCGGGTTTTAAAGCCATTATTATAAAATCAATATTTAAAACAAACTTACCTTCGTTAACGTCGGCTCCCTTCTTTTAGCTGATTCTTTCGCCCTTTCTTTTTTGAAATTTACAAAATCTTGCAGAAATACGAGCAAAAATGAAATATATTTGCAAGAAATTTATCAATCATCAAATCAAGAAATGTTTGCTATTTCGCTGTCGTCATGCAGTCGTTATAATGCAAACTTTAAATTGGACCAATCAGTGTCCGTTATTCATGACAATCCGCCATATTTTTGAGATCAGTGAGGATGACCACCCATCGTTGGTGACCGACGCCTGCGCTCATTGATGAACTTTAGACTTCGCTAATGCTTTCGTTTCCCCGGGTGTAAATAGCCGGGGGGAATTAGTACCCTCGCACGGCGCTTGGCGCCGCCAGCTCGGGGATTATAGTGGATTCTAGGTCAAAGATATTAAAGACTTTTGAGCAACAGTGAAAGTACTAAAATACGAACAGTTAAAGGCTTAAAGCAGCACAAAAACTACATGTACAGCACATACAAAATGACAGCATCAGGCGATAAATAATTGGTCAATAGAGCATTTGAATTAAGATATGCACCTGCCACTGAGTAAAAATATTTATATTTTAGTTAATTTTTTTATTCATATATAAGTCAGCTTAACCACAAATTTCAAATCTCTTCATGTGTTTTATATTATTGCGTACGTGCACCATTTAGAACTAATTATGGCCTTTCTGGGCCGGAAACACTGCTTATGATGTGTCAATATACCGACGCTGACAGTAATGATTGTTTTAATTTATTGATATATAGTGGTAATAAAACAGCGAAATATTGTCCACTCCTGAAAACAACATATTTTCACTCATTCAAATAATTTGTCTTAACTAATGGAATATATATACCATTCCGGCTTACGGCTAATTACAAAGCAGAATTATTTTTTGTCGAGAATTGCAAAGCAGAATGTGAACTGATTGCGCGCACTTCATCTCAGACATATAGTAGCTAAATTGTAGATTGCGATGAGTGTTCAAAATTTAATGTATATGATGTTATATCGTATGACTGAAGGCCGCTGAAATATTCACGAGCTAACAAATTAAATAATGTATTGATACAAATACAACAGGCGGTACAACGCAGCACGTAATATTACTTCACACAGCGGGTTTTAATATGTTATCGTTAAATCAAAATTAACGAATAATGCCAAAATATTTACGACGTACATGTGCAGTTGCGTTTTCAGCGAAAAATCTTCACCACTTGAAAATCTTCACGCAGATTCTGTGATGAAGAGATAAAATTATGGCAAACTTGTGTGTAATTTCTTGTTCAATTTTGTTCGGGGTGTCCTTGCCGAATCGCTTTGGCAACGTTTGCAGGCTTCAGCCCTGGTCACTGTTCATTTTCATGCGATACCATACGTTACTCTAGCTATAATGACTTAGGCCTACTGAGACTAATAAGCCTGAAGGAAAAGACCGCCTCGGATTGGTAAAGAAAATCCGAAAGTGTAAAAACACTTAAAATTAGTCTCAAGTTTTTATCTATTTCTGGTGAAAGTGACGCAAACCATACACGACTCATCTGTTCACACCTGATGCTTATCGCGACATTGTGCAAATAATAAACCAAGTAGTCGACACTTTCACACTAAAAGTCACGCAATGCTATATGACTGTTGGTGGTTTCGTCTTGGAAGAAATAAAATGGAAATCGCTCACATTATAGTCACATAAAGTATCTATATAGTTTTCTGGCGTTAAATTTAGAAATTCGGCATTTATAACAATATCTTTTTGCTCATAATTTTATAGGCTATAGCCAGGGTTTATATCATAGATATCTTATATACACTAGATAGCGCATCTCTTTTAGTAAAATTGAAGCCAAGAATATTCCAGCGGTTACCCCCATTTGATGAGATGGCGGCCATTTGAAGTTTCCTACTCGCTAGTAATAAACGCTTAAAAAACAACAATAACTTTCATCATTTGAATAGTTTGAAAATGTATTTGGAATAGGTTTAACTTAATGTGTAAGTTCCCTGTTTAAGAAATAGAAAACATACGAGTCTTCTCATTTCATGGGAATATCCTGAGTCTGCAATCACGGCTTCAATTTTTGAATTGTGAGAATAATTAGATGCACTATATCTAGTGTATATAAGATATATACGGTTTATATACGTTTTGGTACCACATGTTCAGTACAATATTTGATTTCCTCACAGTAAATTACTCTCGTATAGTTACGCCGGGATACAGCAATAATTCTGCAGTTTGAAGACAATTTTAATGACTAACAATTCAGTTTATCGTTTTAAATCAAAATTCAGTTTATCGTCTTAATTATCAAAACATGTATTTACCAAATATAGATTTATTTACAGGATATAGTCTATAGATATATTTGGATGGTCTTCAGAAAAAAAACCCACAAAGAACTTGTAAAGCGCTAAACCGACCACGGCGACTTATTTTTGTACCAATTGGAATCGCGATTTACTGAATCAATGTTTTGAAATACCTGCATAATTATCCAAAGCTAAAAATGACTGTTATAAGATCTATCAAATAATATAGTATAATTACAAGGTATATAATAGCTAAAATGGATGAATGGGAGTTTTTTAAGATTGGAGTTACGTTAGGGCAAGGGTTAGGGTTACGTTAAGCCGGTTTTCCACTAGGCGGAATTTTGCGCGCGGAGCGGAATTTCTCTTTGTCTTTTCTAATTAGTTCCACCCGAGAAATCATAAGACAAAGAAAAATTCCGCTACGCGCGCAAAATCCGCCTAGTGGAAAACCGGCTTTAGGTTGAAGATATACCAGACCGCGCAGTGTCGAAATGTTTGGTCACAAATTGAGGCATTTCGACCGGTGTTTGCATTCACTAACTTAAGCTATGATAGTAGTGGCCGGGCGAAAATATGTCTGATTTTATTTAAACCCTGTTGCCGTGAACGAATGAACTTCAGTCAAATCTTTGCATGCTTTTGATTTAGCATTATCTTAGGTAGCAATATTTTACTAGGAAGTTGCAGTAGCATGATTTTTAGGAATGTTTATAGGTCTCCTTTGTGGTATTTTCAGGGTGTAGGAGATTTTTTGGAGTGGTAGACCCAGCTCAAAAGAGAAAAGCTATCATGTCGTCGTAGACTTTCCCGTTTTAACGAATCTAATAACCAATAGTTAACATTTTGCCTTCTATGATTATGTAGATGGAAGCACCAACATTCCATCTGGTATACAAATATAGAAATTGGGCGGGAAATCTAGAAATATTCTATATGAAAATTAAAGAATTAATGAAAAATTAATTAATTGGGTAAGGGCTGCGTATTCAAAAAGTAAATTAAGATTTACTTTTTTTACCGATATAATCCAGCTATACTCACTGGCTCTTGACTGTGCATTAACCATTGGTTTTTTTGTCTGATATCATGATCAAGATTTACGTTTGAATGCATGCTAATTAAGTTTTTGTTTGAAGATTTAATGACACTGAAACTCAGGTAGAGGAACGATATTGTCCTGAATTTGCTATTTTGAGACAGTGAAGTCGAACAAATCGGCATGCAGTATCGTTTCTTAATCAGTCTACTCAGTTTTTTCCCATCAGGAACTCAGATAGAAAAGCATTCCTCACGTAATAAACCAGAAATATTATTTTAATTGCAGTATATTCCATGAATATATAATACACGTTGTACGCTTGTGAAAGAGCACCGTTTTGCGAATTGATGACTATATAGATCATATTCTCTGGCAACTTGGCAAGGCATCATTAAATGCAATCAATCCTAGCCCTAGGCCGGCATGTGGTTTTATATTTCAACGATACATATCTGACAAATAGTATGAAACTTTCAAGAACGTAGAAACTTGCAAACTTAATTTCAACGTGTAGTACTGAATACTGGGAACCAAGCGTGAGACGCTTGTATCGAAGTCCGATAACGCAGTGACCAGTGAGTTCTCTATGTTACTATGTATATCTCAGTGGAGCAAGAACTTCGGTCATTCGGCCTATGAGAAAAGTGAAACCAAGATGTCTGAAGGTCTGAAATAGTTTTTATACAATTTCTCCCAGCTAAATCCAGTCGTTTTCTAAAGGACCGTATCGCTTATATTGATTATAATCAAGTTTTCAGTTCATAAAATCACCATAATATTAGTTTTTAAATCGTAGTAAAAATACGGAATTCCGGCACACTCCTTGCCAAAATGAAGAGCTATAGGACGTTAGTTCCAGTCTCTTTCTATTGTTTTTGTCTGCACGGTGGCGAAGCTTTTGGACTCGAGTTCTCGCTCCAGAGATATATGGAGCTCACTGGAAGTGACTTGCAAATTAAAGCGCCGCCACTCCGGGTTACATATGTGACCGAATATGCGGGATACGGCCTTTATGGGGGGATATGGCAATAGATGTTAACGTTCTTGATTTGTCAGTATACCGCAATTATTTCTATCGTATGACTATGAGTATATGGTACGATGTTGCGGCTAGACTTACTATATATGTCTAGTATGACACACATGAAAAAAAGCGGGAACTAAGCTAAGGCCAAGTAAAAAAAATAGTATAGTTTCTCGTCCCCGCCCGCATCCTTTTTCCCTACCGCATGGATTTTTTTTATGTTGTATATTCAAGCCTTTCAAAGAATTTCCACTTTAGTGTCTTTAGTATATTTCGACCATTTTGCTCCTTTCGGCATAGTTCGGTTGCCGTTCGGAAATTTTCGTCAACTCTCGCTTGCTGTTCGGTACTTCGCGCTCGCTGTTCGCGACATATTGTTAACTTATTTTGGCGCCATATTAATTAAGAAGCTGTTTGTCTATTTTAATATATTTACGTTTTATGAGTAATCTTATAGTGTGTTTATAGATTATTTGGTAAACTTTAAGAGCAATATTTGAAGGTTTTACAAAAAAAGCGCCGCCTGCATTCTCCTTTTTTTCAAAATCGGGACGAGAAACTACTAAATTTTTTTACTTGGCCTAACGAGTATTTTTATGAATACGAAAGCTGCAAAAGTTAGTCCCAAACGGAGTGACTCTTTGATGATAACAAAGAAACGTCTATTACTGAATATTATTGAAAATGCTTACCGTTTTCGGAGTGACTATTGTTCGATATAGTACATAACAGGTACAAAGTATTATAACGGGTATAAATTAATATTAACTGAAGTTTGGTATTAGTCACTAACTAATCATAAACTAAAGCCATTGTTTTGTTTGCTGCCCGTGAGCTAGAAAGAAAGATTGACTTTATTGCTACAGTACTGTAAGTATTGTAAAAGTTATTGAAATAATGATAACTGATAACGACTATCTCCCATCAGTTGTATTTTAACAGATCCAGTTCGCGCTGATTTGCTATTTCCTGCAACCGCCCCCGTATACTGGTTGCGACAGAACACGGATAGAGTCAAGTTAGGCAACATCTCCGCGCCGTGCGCGGCGGTGCGCCCACGTTGCATTTAATCTGCGTATACTGATTTAGCAGATGGAAAGTTGCAGTGCGAATAGCGGGCTGACGTATGATGGTGTATATGATCGTTACTCATGCTAATCTGAAAATGCATTCTTCTATTGTCACTTTGTCAACTCTTTTTAGTTGTTGATAAAATGTTATTTGTGGTAATTGCAGAATTTTTTCACATGAGATATCGTATGCATTCTGGACGTCTGCAAATGCTTAGTCTTATCTCTATCTCGCAGAAACGACTTGTGAACTGCAATTCACTCAGGCATACGTCAACAACAATATAGTTCTATGCAGGGGAACACAAATTGTTGTCTACACCAATTATCGCGAAGATACAACGGAGCAAACCTGTTCCATTTTGGGGTACTGATGGAACTAACAGCACACAACTGAAATAATCAGTTTTACCATTCTTTAAGACTGCCAAATATGGATCCTTATTGACTATAAAACCTAGGCTAGGTAAAATTGGCTATAAATGTACATTAAATATAGGAACTCTATTACTTGCATTTTAAAAGTACCAGGCATTCAAAGAGTGGTTATATTTAGATTCTTTGGCACGGGACCGTGGGAAATCAGATTCGCTCTGAAAGGTTTCTTTTCTATCTAAACTATAAGATTTGTTGTTGGAACAGTTCTCCATAATGCTTCCACGTAGCTGGCTCAAAGTTAATAATTTGTTGCCAACCGACTGTTAAAGAACACGAACTCCCGATAGATATGCTGCATGCGCAAGCTGTTGAACCTCTTGTGCCTGCTGTATTCAGCCTAGTTTTATCAGCCATATTGTCTTATCAAGGCTTTACCTTTCGGCTGTCCTTCCAATTAGTTGAGTAATGCAACAGTTCATCGGGTTCACGCATGCTTTTGTTACGCCCATGTCACGGTATATTTTATAAACATGTAAAATATCAACAAGACCATTCTAAGTTACACGCAAAAGTTAAAATAACCGCACTGTCCGCACACCGCTCTCAAAAGGCACACGTGTTTGAGGAACAACGAATTTTTAAGGCGATCAAAACGACATATCTTTTCGCTCATGGCAATATCATATCACCTCAAATGGCGTTAATTTTACTAATTAACCGCAATTCCCAACAAAATGAAACAACGCCATATGCTTCCTCCAATGGTATACAGTTAGCCTAAAATACGCTCAATAACTTTAGATGTCAATATCGATTCGAAATGCCGAGAAATAAGATCGGAAATATGGATGCGATATAAGCCGTGCATTTTTCAATTTGCAGGATATAATTGTGTCTGTCAAATTAACAGTCGTCTGTAATCCATAAAGAAACAGCTGTAAACTACTTAATAGTCATTGATGAAAACTGCTATATCTGATAAGCCACAATACCGACCAATCTCGGGTTGGCATGCTGGCATGATTTACCGTATTTGGTTTTACCAGACGGCTGGCTAAACAACAGAGCACCTTGAACTTATTTACTTATTGGTATGAAAAGAAATTGGCATGAACGCCCTTCTGTACACACGCATGTAGATACTGATTTGATAGGAACACCCCATGTTTACTGAACGATTCCTTTGCGATCACTCGGAATCTCCCGCGGGTAGAAAAAAGCGCAAAAGCTGGTGCTAATAGCAGGTATCGCCTTTCGGACGTAAAATCTATCTTTTTGTTCGCATGACCACCCAGCTATGCCAAATATAAGTATTTAATTACTTTAAAATACCTTACAAGTGTCAGTGATATTAATAACGTTTTCTGCCATGTAAAATCAAACCTAGTCAAATACCAAATAGTCACATGCAAAGACCTCAGTGATTCATGTGCTAATCCGATAGTGCTTGTGGTTAGGACGTTAGTTCCAAAATAACAAGTATATAAAAGGTGTTAAAAGGAGTATAAGCAGGCGATTATTTGAAAAACAAATCAGCGCGCGGGATGTCCGCAATATTTATACGTGTGATAGAATTAATATGTGAAGGTCAGGCGGGTTTGTGGAAATGGGATCTTTCAACACAAGAGCATCATTTGAGCTTAACGATGACACAATTAGGACGCTGAAGAAGTGCACATACTAGAAATAAACCCCTTTTCACAGATAGGTGAAACTATTGACAGACTTGAGTCTCAAGTGACAGCTAGCAAACATGCGATTATCAAATTAATTGCCAATTACACTTGTTGTTTGTCTACCACCTAAATGATTTACACATTTAAGTGAATCGCTGTTAAATCACAACGTCCGACCGCGCACCATCGTCGGGTATCTGCGCGCATACTGTTAAACAAAATGGACCCTATTTCGACTACTGAATCCGTATCTTTGTCTGAAAAGGCAACAGCGTTCTCCATCGACTCACTGATTTCCGCAGAGAAAGAGGAGAAAGGTTTGTTGATATAATATTTATTTGTTTTCGTGAATGATATAATCCATTATAAACAATTTACTAAACATTTGCGTAATTTATAAACAACATGCAACTGAAAGTTGAATTTGCTAAGCGGCGCCATTCTTTATTTAATTTACTCTTTGTTTAACAATTTTATTTCCTTTTGTAGAAGATAAGGAGGTACACAGTCCTACCAAGCGAAGTATTGAGTGTTCAGCTGGTCTCAATGATGGTCACGCAAAGCGACAGAAGACACGAAGTCACGAAAACAGTGAAAATATTGGTGAAGATACATTTATTGATAATGTTGATGTCATTCTAGAAGGAAAAGAACTATGGGACCGATTTAACGAGCTAGGAACTGAAATGATCATAACGAAGGCTGGCAGGTACGGCTATATTACTTTGAATTCTTATCAGCTATGCCTATGTATATATAAATACAATTAATAACATAGAACCGGATCCTTGACTTTGTCACTGCAATTTTCTGGTTTATATTACTTTCAACTATATCCGTAGTTGATTGAATTGCATGCTCCTCGAAGTTAAAGAAACTCTTAGCACATGCCTGTTCGTGCTTATTACAGACAATTGAGGAATTCCTAAATGTGCTAAATTAAAATGCATTAATTTGTTCTCATTTTGATTTGGAGCGGATATTATGGTAAATTTTACATATAGTATAGAAATATGAACAAGTTATAAGTATTGGCATTGCATGGTATATTGATATTTTATGCCAATGTTTTTTTATTAGTCTATGTATGCTGTTGATGGAAACAAATTGCATGCATGGCATGATTAAATATTGGTAAAACTTTTTCACTCGACAGATTGGTTAACTAGATCTTTGCTATACCAGCAAACTTGCTAGTATTGTAAGTTTGGAAACGAAACTGAATCGATATTCCGCTAAGACCACTAGATAAACCATATATTCAGTTCAATAACAGTAAACACAACGAACAAGAAACGTGTTTGATTTACCTTTAGTAAATTGTTAGGCAGTACCACAATGTGGTACAGCAACATATACTTTCCTCGGTTTTGATTGTAATATGTTTTTGCGCACGTTCAATTATCAATAGTCAATACTCCATACAACCATGCACTGACAACCAAACAGCGAAAACTCGATTTCACGAACACTTCTCGAAGTATGTACATTTGAATACGATTTCAAAACCAGATCTACAGCCTTTAATGCGTGCGATAGTCGATGAACTTGTACAGTTTCATATAATAGGCTGTATAGAAACTCTGTATTAGTGGCTTCCTCACGAATCGAATTAGCGTAATCGCAACTTTGTAATGTGGGACACTCTTTAAAATCACATAAAATTGCGGCTGCACCGAAATTAGTGTGATTATAGATATAGTATATCAGCCTTAGTCTTAGTCCTTCATATAATTTGGATATATCTATGCATATATGTATTACATGGTAAATAATCTATAGTGCCGGATAGCTTATAGAGCCGAAATAATTTAAAAGTGCTGATCTTGAGGTATACGAAACACCCAGGCGATATATTTCGTATTTATATTTGTCTATTTAAGTAGAAGGGTATATTGCTTCCCATTATTGAGCGCTTGCGTTGTCTGACCTTCCTTGTGTATACTCGCTAAAGTGCCACGACAAGTGAGGAAGTGAGGGTAGCTACAAGCTTTCATTAACTGAGATAAACCGTGTGTTTTGTAAAGTGTTGCCGTTTCGGATTATAAGTAAGCTAACATTATACTTAGGCGATGAAAACCCGACTTAATATGTACGGAAACTGATAGTGATAAAATCACATCTTAAACCGCCGCGGCGAACACTTGTATGCGTGAGGATATAAAAATAGCTGTGGTGAAAAAATTGGCACAGGACGGCAAGGGAAAGTCACGCTATGTTATCATACATCCAAATTCCATATTTAAAGCATTGTGATGAATGTTTTATCTATGTCGCTAATTTTGCCACTCAGAATTACTTTGTTTCTGCATTATTGTCTGTTTTGTACAATTGGCATTTAAGTTGGTATCTAAGTAAACTAAGTTGGCATTTAAGAAACATCATAATTGTACAATCCAAATATAAATTGAGGTACAGCAAAGCATAAATTCTATCATAATTTCTGGGGTGTCATGCATGATATAGCAAAACCAAGCTCGTATGAATTAAACATCATCCTCTGTTTAGCGTCAGTACCACCCAACTGGCCAGAATTATTTATTTAGCCTCCGTACTGGACATATACTGTTAAGTCTACTTACCTATATTGGGAAAGTGTCAAAAGTATAAGGTGCGTTAAAGAAATCTTCTATTTAGTAGAATGGAACGTATTTAGATTTTAGACTTGTTCTTTACTTGACTTATAAACAGTATAAACTATACACGCATTTACAACAGTGTGAAACATGCTTGGGTTTCATTTAATGAATCTAGAAAATCGTATTTGTCTTTCTTTTTATGCATCGAAGGTGTTCTTTAACGTTCCACAATAATTCTTCAGATATCTAATTGTATATGGTTCCATCTGAGAGCATAAAATCAAAAATAAATTTCTATTGGCTTTACCTATTATTAATATCTGCATTTTCATCTTATGCATTTCATGTCATGCATTTGCATCGATGCGCAGTCGAAAATCCGAATTAACTGATATGCTGCATGGGTTTTATAGCGAAGTTTGTTCTACGGTAGTTCACATTGTGACAAGTCAACTGCGTACCAGTAAATAAATTACAGTGTATAAATCTCTTTAAAAGATACATGTACATTTTTTTTCGTACTATTCCATGCTTTACAACAAGTAAGATACAATATACAAAAGGTCTGCATAATATCAACTTTTGAAAATGGAACTGATCAATTTTGACTGCATACATTTGTTGTGTGATTTATAATTCCCATTTAAAATCTCCTTGAGAGGTAGGCTTGGAGCAAGTCTAGACTGAATGCAAGTTACGACGCGTATCTATAGTGTTTCTAAGTTCAAATATACGAGTTTCGAAGTACATGAAGGCACCTAAATATAGAATACACGGTTTTCAATTAACCTTCTAGCTAAAGATTAAGGATAAGCAGGTAGTGTTTTTACAAAGAATTACGCTATTAAGGTGAAAAGTCGCCATAAGAATACTAGGCTTAAACATATTAAAATACGAATACATATTTTCTGTGAGTCATCGCTTGGAAAAGTTAAAATCCTATAAGTGATGACAAGACGTCTATAATCTGTAAAGTTGGTGGCGTGTCAGCAATGTTTTTACACTCGTGTTTTTACAGCAATTCGACTACAAGCTTCAGCTACTTTTAAATTAATTCTTAGCGTTTGCACGAAAGCGGAAAAAGACGCTTAACACCACACTTAATTCTTGCGATGACCTTCAATCTTTCGAGGGCTGATAGAACAATCATTCATCAATTTAACTATTGTTCGCTTTCTACATTATTCGCCGACATTTGTTTTTTTAACAGAATTGATTATACATTTTCATCTCATGATTCTTAGCGCGTTGCTCGCATTTCGTAGTTCACAGTTCACAATTCGATCACCATTTAGTCAGATTCTGAGAATTTATCTCTTTATTGAAATCTAATATCGTCTAGAATTCATTAATATACAAATAATGAATGTTTATGAGTGCAATGGTAAGAATATTTTCATTCGGTGAAAGATGGAATGTTCCATTCAACGAGGCGACAGCCGAGTTGAATGGAACATTCCATCTTTCACCGAATGAAAATATTCTTACCATTGCACGAAAAAAATTCTTTATTTGTTTTATATAATACCAAAATAGACTAATAGATTCGTATGAGAAGCATCAGTTGAGGGATGCGATTTATCGAAAACACAAAGAGTGCAATTGTACTATACGTTTTATTCCATTGCACTCGCAGGAATGCAATGGAACGTATTCCATTGCACTCTTGGGAAATGGAATTTTCTATTCAATATCACGTGACCATAAACAGCCAATTAAACGATCAGAATTCAATAAGGTATTATATAATTACTATTAATTACTGACAATTCATTTATTGATTATTCATTATTCAACATGTTACTTGAATTCACCATTCAGTTGCATTTAATATAAAATATTCATTACTTCCCAGATATTTTTAAAAATGGTAGAAACCCTAATTTTTTCTTATTTTTTCTAGGCGGATGTTTCCAACATTAAGATTTTCAGTAACAGGGGCAGATCCAAAAGCAAGTTATCTCGTACTCATGGATATTGTTCCCGTAGACGACAAAAGATATCGTTACGCTTACCATCGTTCGACCTGGTTGGTGTCTGGCAAAGCGGATCCGCCTGCTCCGACAAGATTGTGCATGCATCCTGATGCTCCATTTACTGGAGAACAGCTTATGAAACAACCGTTATCTTTTGAGAAAGTTAAACTTACGAACAACGAAATGGACGAACAAGGACACGTAAGTGAAAACCTACGAGTTCCAATATTCAGGCGGAAAGACATTTTTCCTTTGTGTGAAATATCATGACAATCTGTTGTACTCAATCGCCTATTTAACTTCATTTTGTTTTACTAATTCTTGTTCTTCTACAATTGAATAACTGAATTAAATTCTTGTTTGCACTGCTTAGAGATGCACAGACAAGCACTGCTTTGAGATTGTTAGTTACACTGTTTAGAGATGTTTGCACTGCTTAGAGACTGCTTAGAGACTTCAGACATCTGGGTTAGGTTAGGGTTATGCTTATACCGTTATGGTTGGATTTCTGATTCTGGGTTGGATTTCTGAATGGAAGAATACTCAATTTGCCTTTATTTTTAGATCATGCTAAATTCCATGCACAAGTATCAACCTCGAATCCATATCGTTCGAAAAAGAGAACACATTGCATCAGTGATTAATCTCAAATCAGAAAAGACACGAACATTTGCTTTTGACGAAACCCAATTCATTGCAGTGACTGCGTATCAAAATCAATTGGTAGGTATACTCGCATTATTTTTGACCAATTAGATGCTACATATGCCAGATGAAGTACTTTTTGGTATATATTTATACTAGTCTGTGTTATAGTATAACAGACAATTGTAATAGAGCGCAGACGCGTATAGCGCTCTCTATAAAGCAAATTATCACAATCAGTGCCGTTCCTATGCCGATATGTCATGGGGGGAGGATGTGAAAACAAAACTTCGGTTCCCTTATTGAACGGACCATATTTTAACAATCCGATTGTTTATCAAACCATGCAGCGGTTGCTTGACCAACGAGAAATCGTCACTGAAACATGGCTATGGTCAGTAAAGTGGTTATGGCATGGCTAAGAAGCCATGGAGCGACATTACATCCATACTAAGGAACTAGCTCTAGAGAGTGCAGGGCAGAGGGTCAACTTGCCTTGGGCCCACAACTTGACACCAGGGTCCGGGTTTTCGTTAGAGATGGTATCAAAAATCAATTTTTGGAACAAAACCTTATATCAAATATAGGACTGCCATATGGCCGGCCGTCAGTCCCTATATATACCAAAGGGGCCCAGAGCATGGGGAAAATTTGACTTTACCCCTCAAAACCCCCTTAGCGAGGCTTGCTTTGATTCGGAAATTAAGATTAATTTATCTTTTCATCTCTGGCGACATAATATTTCTTTCTTGTGAAGGAAGGAACATTGCACTGCGTGCAGATGATCACAATTTATTTCGCCGTTATGAATTATGAGAAATCATAGCTTATATAGCAGTGGCGAAACTATAGCCATGCCCATTGCAACTGGACATGCATGAACATGAAAAAATCAAAGCATAAATTTTACGCTATGCAATTAAATGAATTATGTATACAAATATTTTGAATGATATTATTGGATTTTTTCTGTGTTGGTGTTGTGTACTCAGGTGAATATGATATTTGTGATGTTACTCTGAGAGTTACTTTGTGATATTATTGTTATGATCATGAAAACATGGTCCGAGATATCATAAACACTGTAAAAACAGATTCGTGCATTTATTTGACCAATCTTTTTATTAGTTAAAACAACCAAAAATTGGGGTATTAACCAATTTTTCGACTGTGTTCACCAAATTATATTGTTCAAAAGCAAATGCATCTGAGACAACCAATCAAATTGGTTATTTATTCAGTTTAACCAATCTGTTTTGACAGTGTATTAGCATAGTTACCTGCATATATATATATATATATATATATATATATATATATATATATATATATATATATATATATATATATATATATATATATATATATATATATATATATATGGTGGCTTATAGATCATTTTGACGTATCATTTTTGTCACATTTAAAACCGATCATGAAATTTTTAGAAATTGCCCATTCATTATTTACATAATTTATAATTTATCCTCTCTCATTGAGTACCCGAATTGTTGTCAATCTAGATAACTCGCCTAAAGATCAACAGCAATCCATTTGCTAAGGGATTCCGTGACTCCTCGCGCTTGCTGAACCCCGAATGGAGAGAAAGGTGAGGTATATTTTGCGCTCATATTTTATTATATTGTCGATTTCAGGTCACTTTTCAAAGCGTATTTCCCAAGTTTGTTGTGAATATTCCCAATTATACGTCTCTAAATTTGGAATATTATAGGCGTGAAAATTGCAAAGCGAATTTCGCGAGTTGCTTACTAAAATATCAAAGTACTGAGTCTGAGTACTAAAATACTGAATATAAACTCATAATTTGCAGTGTTTTATGATATAGCCAGCATATATTTGACGAATTATTTATTAACGTTTCTAAGAAATACATTTAATTCGTTGGCTACATTAGTAAAACACTTTGCGAAGTTCGTTTTGCGAGTCCCACGCCCAATATTCCAATTTATGAACGTAATTGGGAATATTCACAACGAATATGGGAACCAGCGTTTTGAAAAGTGACCTGAAATTGACAATAAGCGGGGTACTAAGTATAGAGGTATTATTTTCCATGATCTGGTTTGTTCATCGTTTCCTGTTTTCAGCCCATGCACATTCTGCATTCAAAATGATAGAATATTTTGCCAATTCATGCATGCATGTTGCACCATGCAATGAATTCCATTCCTCCATGCATTCTTGCAGGAAATAAAATTCTTGTTTAACATATACTTGTTGATACACGCATGCATGTATGCAAACTACTAACTGCATGTAGGTAGATACCCGAAAGGAGAAATATAATCGCATATGGGTTTTGATAGATCCACGCGTGCGCACAATAAAGAAAAAACTGGAAAATATTTTGCTTCTCTTCAATTTAGAAATAAAGACTTCTGCGATCAGGTTTCGCGAATATTTACCTACCACGATCCGTCTTTTTCACCAATTTTACAACCTTCGCCTTGGAGAATGGATCCTCACTACAGACTACCTAGTGACCCAGGTGAAATGCCAATTAAATTAATATTCAGTGATAAAACTAAACTATATAACTATAGCTATATAGGTTGTATGTATTTACTACATATTTAGGAAAAAGTGCAGACATAAGCAACCATTGAAACTGATGCGCAAAAATTTTTTTCGACTAGTGAAACGCAAAATTAAAATCAGAATTTCGGGCGAACTGACGTGAACGTTAAAAGCTCAGACAAACCAAAATAACACACCTGATTAACGAAATAATAAAAAATGTAATGTGTCTTCATTAACTATAGAACTAAGAAAGTTTATATATATAGGCTAGTATTAATGTGTTGATTATTGAGACGCTAATAAAAGTGGTTATTTTTATTTTTTATAGTATCTTAATTATAGTCGCATACATGCATGTGCATGCAATACCGTACGGATCATATGAATTTAATCTTCAAGGCATATATATATATATATATATATATATATATATATATATATATATATATATATATATATATATATATATATATATATATATATATATATATATAGTTCGGTTATAGAATTTTTCAGTTATTTTTACAATTAAGTGACATTTTGAATTTATTTATTATAAACTGTCATATGAATTAGGTACTTAATTGAAAAATATGTACCTTAGATCTTGTTCAATCACAGGTTATAAAGATAGTAGCTACATGCATTTTATTATTTCATAGGTATATAATAGTATAATTTGGAATAAAACATGCCGCGAGTGAGTTCTTCGAAGACAATCGAGAAACTCATCAATGTATGTTTTTCTAAACTGAGCGAGAAAGATTATAGTTACTATTTAATAATACGCATGGAAAATTTATGGATAAGTAAATTCCTAGTCACTTGTGTACTGTGTATCATGGATGAAACATATGCGAATGAATAATTTAACTCACTCAGGTCAAAAAGTCAGAACTTTATTCAAAATGTCCTTTGTCAGCGACTTGCATGAATTTCTTTTTTAACCCTAAATTTCGAATTCTATTGTGGTACTGAATTTAGTTTTGGCACTGTATTTCGATAAAATTGCACTTCACTAAGCCCATCATGCAGAAATGCACGAGTGATAATTTTTTTCATGTATATTGTTGTTCCTGTAATTGCAATTGTATTTTCTGCATTCCATGATTCTTACCATACAAAATTTTAATTTCAGGTCATCCACCATACCTCACGTCACCGTACAAGCCTGGTTGTACCTTTGTCTTTGATGAGAACATTCCGCAAACCTTTCTTCCTCCAATGACCGCATCTGTTCAACGGCCGCCTAATCTCTGTTACCCAGTTTCCTTCCCTACGACAATCGCGGGCACTCCCGACTGTATGAGCCCACGAACAAGTTCTCTTCTGGCATACCTGCATGGTGGACATTTAGTTCCCCGTATGAGCGTTACGGACGATAATATATTTAATTTCAAAATGTAAATAACCTAGTTGCCAAACGCGCATTCACCATTTCCGGGTATCTGACAATGCAATGAATAACATTGAAGAAGAAGATTTCTATTTTCACGTAAATTCGTGAATCCTGTAAATACTAGATGTAAATAGTAAATTACATGATATCAATATATTTATTTTATGTATATAGCTTCCATGATATAATTATATAATTAATTAATATCTACCAGGTTTAGTTAATATTAGCCTATAATTGAAGTTTAATCACGCGGTTTAAGCACTAAAGCGCACGGATACGAACAGACATTTCCCGAACTTGCTGACTGGCAATGAGAACTCCCTACTTATTTACAGTGGGTAACATGGTCCGCCTCTCTTTCAAGCTATTCAGTTGTGTGCACTCAAGCAAATTCAGTCGGGAAGTGTCTTATAGTGTTTATTTGGGTGTGTTTTCTGTAAGTGCAATTTTCGAACGAATATCTATATACAATTTTGAGATTTATCTGGGAGCAAATGCGAAAAATGCAACTTTAGGCCCTCCGACTGGAATGCAACCTAAAAACCCATCTACATTCATTTCTTTTTCGAGCAAGATGCCCAAAATTAAGACTTAGCTATCTATCGAATTTGCCTGTCTAAGATTGTGGTGGCTATACCTTTCTTATAATGATGTCAAACGCAGAAAACCAATTTAGCGATGTCCTACAGGACAGGCAACGCAAGCCTTGGGTGAATCTCATTAATTTTAAGTGTTTTTTCGCCTTTGACGTCATTCTAAGAAAGGTCTAATAGATTTTGCTAAGTGAAAATATTTCGATTGTGACTGTGCAATATACAATAGTTAGTTCTATACTTCCATGATTTACGAAAGGGAATTTTATTTGCCAGAAACCGTATAGTAGAGGGACCGCGGAGACGGGGGGGGCTGGGGGGGCTTTAGCCCCCCCCCACTTTTTTTGACAGCCAAAATTATTAAAATAGAAATCTAAATGAAACTTTCTAAATTAATTAATTGGGGGTTTTATTGATGATTTAGCCCCCCCCCTCTAATACGCTCCGCGGGCCCTGTAGTAACCGCTTCAGTAAATGCCAGCATGTCAGCTGGGTTGGTCAAAAAGAAACGCCCACAAATGCCACGTCTATCACATGTATCAAGATCTTTATCGTATCGTTTCTTTTCAACGTGAGAAATATTCATTTGAGGGTGATATCGCCATATCGGTGGTTTACATGCAGTTATATGTTTTGACTATATACGTATACAGTTGCAAATAAGATACTGATAGTGTCCTAAATCTGGGCAAAACGTTCAATTCAGTTGCACACACAATTCGAAAGTGTAAACATGCATGCTTTGTTTTATATTTTGGGATCAGATGATACTTCTAGTATAAGTTGAAAAAAAAACTGTACCCTACCAACACGCAGTACAAACTAGAGCCTTTAAGTTGAACTGCATCAAAATTAGAAGATTAAGAAATCATGGTGTGTAGCTAAATTGAGATCTGACTAGCTAAAACATCATATCATATCTGAACGCGACGAATATCTTAATAGGATAGTACAGATAAGCCTCTTCCGTAAATTAAATATTTGCGTTCACACGCATACGTTGACAGCATACAGAAACGCCTATGAAACGTATTAAGGCAAACACAAACAGATTTCACCCTTTAAGCTTATTTTTAAAAACAAATTTATACATTGCACGTAACATCGGCAAATTTCCAGCTTAGATAAACGTGTCTCATCGTGTTAGAATGAATCAGATCTTTTCTTGGCTTTTATATATTATAGCAATCAGATATCTTAAGTGGCTGAATTAAGTGTTAGTAGGTGCTAATATTTTTCTTATAATACACGCACGTTTGTGGTTTTTAGTGGTGGGCCATCGGATAGGTTGTGCGAATTTTTGTTCCTACTTTCTATGAAGGACTCTTTGTATTATCTGCTTGGTTCTACAAAAAGATGATGATAATTGCAAGTGCCAACACACGCATCCAACTACTATACTGACTAAAACGCTTAATTGAAGTTAGAACGTTTTCCACTACAACTGAAACGCAACGAAAAATAAGTTCCTCGTATTTTAATTTAGAAATGATGTGTGTAGCAATAGTTCCCGCAAAACATTGATTATATAAACATGAAATCTTCCATACGTGCAAGCAACTGACGCGTGGTTGCCACCATGATAACGTAAAAATAACTTTTCAAAATTGAAATAAATATTACCTTTTTGGTAGAAAGTTTCAAAGTGTTAAAAATTAAATTCAACTGTTAATTTCTTTCGCTTTTGTATGTCCGACACACGTTTTTATTTGCTGGCAAAAATATTAAGTTGTTGTAGTTTTCTCTATAGCTCCGTGTTTAGTTGCAAGAGGTTATTATTAAAATAACACCATAGCTAGGGCATTGCCTTTAGATTGGCGGGTAGAATTTGATTGCGGGCAAAAAATTGAAGCGGCGATTGTGAACCACGAGATGCCTGCGGAAGAGGTCACATTCACCCATTCTCATCCCCAGAGCCATTTTCACTCGGCCACTCATTGAAAATTAGGCTCTGAGTTAGACGACTGAAAGGAGAGATCTGTGATTGGCTTCTCGGAGAACTAAGGCAAAATTATTATATCAAAATATGAGTCAACACAAATATTACTTGGTTTCTTTGTTATACCTCTTGGTGAAAATTGTTACAGGTGCTAAAAATTCAAGTCCAAATTCAAGAGTATGCGCTTTAGAAACCCTGTAAGTTTTCTTGCACTTCCGGTTCCGTGTATCCCAGGGCCTGTGAAGGTCGCGCGCGGCCGAGGGGCCCTGGGAACGAGGATGACATTGCACCCTGATTTACCCTGATGCACACAATTTGTTTTTTCACTGTCTAACGCCAGAGGAATTAACAGAGGGGCTCTGTCCTCCGCAAAAACATCTTGGCATTGAGCGTGATTACATAATGATTACATATACTGATTATTTTATTATTTAGTTGAGATCAGTTGCCATCAGTTTGTCATATATTTATGGAATGCGCTAGAACGTAAGAAAGCGCATTGTGAGTGAAAACTAAATAAAGCCTAGCTCTGCAAATATAGAACCCAACATGGCGTCAAACAGGGAGAAAAGAAACATTTCCAAGGAGGGAAATTCATATACTCTGCAATTTTGTAAATTTTCTGTCTTTAATCTAGAAAAATTCAAAACAATTCTTGCAGATTTATGGTTATTATTATAAATTCAAGTTATTTTATTAAAATCATCCGTAACATTTCGAGCAAACTTTCAATTTCCCCCGCCCCCCAGAACTTTCCCCTTTTGAGTGAAATTTTGATCTAGACAAGTCTGGACAAAAATTTCATCACAGCTTGAAAGAGCATCACAAAATTAGTAATATTCTGAAGTTTCGTTGCGAAATGTTAAAAAATGCTGATAAAATTACAAACGGGAAATTGATAATCAGATGATCAAACTGATTATCAATTTCCCGTTTGTAATGCAAATGACTGAAAAACGGCAAACTTCGCAAGGCTATATTATCCGCATTTTACATCATTTCGCAACGAAACTTCGGAATATTACTAATTTTGTGATGCTCTTTCAAGCTGTGATGAAATTTTTGTCCAGGCATATCCAGATCAAAATTTCACTCACAAGGGGAACATCTATTGCCTCAGTTATTGGATCTTGCAAATTGTTGGAATGTCTCTCCATGCAATTATTTCCATTGTTTACATGGTTTCCTGCATGCATTGTTATGTTGTGGGGTTTCAAAGAGTTAAAAAAGAATTACCTATTGTGTTTACTTGTCTGTCAGTTGGTGATAGGATGCATAAGTTGTGTATATAGAATCATTATGTTTGATGAGGCAAAAGCAACCGAATTTGATTTTAACAAATACAGGTTGGTAATCATATATTGTGTCCCCAAAAATGCCCTCCTCCCTACTATATTTTGCGAACGAACGGCAAAGAAGGTGATTCCGTTCTTGATCGCGGATCGATCAGCGCATTTTCTCACATTGCTAACGCATCTAAACAAATCAGAATGCATGAATTCGAGACGGCTGCTAGAAAATCCGCAAATTGCTATACAAATATAGGGTTTTTATTCAAACAAACAATGATTTATTGGACCAAAATTATCCCACGATAGACTGTACATTGCAGACGTCCACTTTAAGGTCTATCTGAATTGTTTGTCTCAGGTACATTTTCTTTTCATCAATATTATTGGCAATTGTTTTAACCAATAAAATACTGGTCAAATTCGTGTATCTGAGGCCATATTAATATTAAAATTACCAATTAAAATTGGTCTTTTTAACAATTAATCTGTTTTTACAGCGTGGTCAAGAATTTTAACAGATTTTATTTATACAGGTTATAAACAGATATGCCAATTATTTTTTTCTACATGCTATACTGAAGTTACTTCACACCAAGCTAGGCTCGTAGCTAGCTCTCAATTTCGGGGGGGGGGGGCGGTCACTGCAGAAATAATTTAACAGAGGGGTTGGGATGATTTTGACTTCGTGCTAGCAGCTAGTTTTCCTTTCCAGCTCAGAAAAATTGGGATCGAACGGAACGTTCTTCTACACTGTAAAAGTATTATACTTGTGCTCAATTTTGTGAGTCTTCAAAGTTCTGTATAGGGTTAGTTCAGCCGTCTGCTATCTAGCCTAGCTTCTAACAATGAGGTTATTTATTTTAGGCCACAAGCAATCTATTTTCATACAAAAATTGACAAAATTTTCATACAAAAGGTGTATGGTATTGAATGCATATGATTTTATTGACCCAGCCCGGGCGTTGCATGTGAAAACCCGGAATGCCGGAATATCGCGGAATATGGCGGAATATCACGGAATATGCCGGAATATGGCGACATTTTCCCGGAATATACCGAAACATCACGATATTTTCCGATGGTATTGGTAGCCATGCGACTGTTTATAAACATCGACGTCTGACAACATATTTTATTACAAAAGTGATGGATCTTTCCCGTTTTGACGGTAAATAACAAAC